TCCCACATCTCATCCCATGGTACTCTGGCGCTCATCATCAGAGACATCACCAACGCCAAACGCATGGTGTCCTTGCCGATCAAATTTTAAAAACATTTCCAAGAAGACAGGAAGAAGAACCCACTGGAACGAGGAATTATGGTAAACGCCTGGGAGTGGGTTCTCGCCTTCTTCCCTTTCATCACGTGGGAGCTGCTGTTTCTACCAACCTAGACTACTTTCGGCCAGGGGTGGTTGTGTTGGTTCGACGTACATCCCATTGTCTTTGTTCTTTGGGTGGGAGCGCGGGTTTTGATTGAACATTCCAACCAACCTACTTGCATTCATTCCCCTTCTTTCACTTATTCTTTCCCTTGCACTGTTCTCCGCCTGGCCCTGGCACACCACACCCATACCACACCACCACCGCGGACAAGCGAGGTCATTGTTTTTGACGTCTCACAGGGCCATCGGTCTGCAGTCGGTATGCATGCTTTCCTTTGAGGAGAGGCTGGCTGATGGCAGGGGATCTCGGCGCCGTTAGGTGAGGAAAAGCAGGGGGCCAAGGAGGAGAAGGTAGCCGCGCTCGCCGCGGTAGATGTTGCAGTAGTACCATCAATTAGTAGTTCGCCGACCTAGAAACATCGTCTGGTAGGGGACCAGACAGAGAGAGAGAGAGGAGGAGGGTGTACGTGCGGTGTTGCCAAGCCTTTCCTGAATTGCAGACGACATGAAAGGATGGAATTCTTAAAATAACACCCAAGAATAGGGCTGCTTTGAGTGCTGCATCTCCCTCGTCTGTATCTCTCGACCTGTATAATTTCCCCATTCTCAACCTTTAAGCATGACCTGGGCAGGGTAGTAAGGTCGGGGGGTAAGAATTCTTCAAAGCCCGTGGCCTTGCGCGCGGTGTGTCGCTCTGGTCACCCAACATCTCATTATCCATCTTTCCTCGCCTCGTCGCCGCTGCCGCCGCGTCTTTCTCTCCGCCTTCTTGTCCTCCGCTCTGCAACTTCGGACTTGGACCCGAAGGGAACCTATCATTTTGTTCTCCGGGGTCGCAAGAAAGGGGCCAAAACGCATTGCCCATCTGCTTTTCCCCAGTTGCGAACGGAAAGCACTGGTGGACAGAGTGAGTTGAGTCGTCCCGGCCACGGAACAAACGCTTCCTCACAAAGGAGCTCTACCCTCATCTGCAACAGCTTGGGTGCCGGCACATTCCCGAGACATTTCCCCAAAGCCATTGCTTTCCTCTCTCGTCCGTTCGTACGCTCTCTGTTCTGTTTCTTCATTCTGATCGTTCCTCTCGAAACCTGCTGCTCCCTCCCTCCACTTCTCTTGCTGCTGCAGCTGCTCCTTGCCGCGCCTTCTCCGTTGTCGTTGCTGTTCGTCGTCACCGCCGCCGCGACAACAACGTACCGCCCTGCCCTCACCCCCGATGTCCTTTCTCCCCCATAATGGCAACCGTCATCTTTGAACATAAGGTCATTGAGTTGGACGGTCATTGTCTACCCCGTCTCTGCTGAATAGGTAGCCGCCATCTCGAAACCACAAAGAAGACGTACAGAACGGAGCGAACAATCGTCCCGACGAGGGGAGAGTAAGAGAGGGAATCTCGCCTGTCTTGTCTCGTTCCAGTTCCCCGATATACCTCTCCATCTGTCTCTCACGTCCTCCCAAACACTTACTGCCATTCTTCTTCGCTCAAGCTCCCACCCACCACCTGTCCCGCCATCTCTTCCAAACCAAACCAAACCCTGGCATCCCGTCGTGTCTCTCACCGTATACAACGTACACGCCCCCCCGTCTGTCGCTGCTATCCTTCTCCAAACGCCCCTCTCCGAAGCATGGTGTAAGTCCGAACGTCGCATAGCCAAACCAACCAGCCGAACCGACCGCCATCTACCACCTGTCACCGTTTCCACCACCACCACACCCGTTTGCACCTCCTCCCAACCTTCCAGGTCCCAAGATGGCAGATGTGATTTCTACTCCCAGACCGCGGCGGTCAACCTCTTCTTCTGGGGACAACTCTGCCCAGGCGACCATGGAGCGCAGAGCAAGCCAGGGGACAGACGAAGGACCTGACTCTGTAAGCTCAGCTGGTAGTCGAGCAAGTAGGAAACGCGCTGCTTCTATTGATGTTGAGGAAGCAAACAACAGCTCGAGGGCGAAAGAGTACAGCTTGGAGACAGGACCGATGGGCGGCGAGGGCAGCAAAGACTACATCTGTCTATGCACGCCCGCTCTGAAAGTTCCAAGGCCACGCAACGGTGAGTTCGACGCCCGCTTCCTTTGGTTCCTCCTTCGCCATCCTTTCGCCAGAATATGCCGACGCTCTGTCGCAGACGCATTTTGAGACGAGAAACTCGGCAGACCGTCTTTGTTGTTTGATTCAAATCGGCAGCTGGACACTTGTGCAACGCCTGTTGGCTAACGCTGCTGTTCTTTGATAGCCTTCATCTTATACAGGCAACACCACCAAGCCCAGGTCATCGCGCAACACCCAGGACTTTCCAATCCAGAGATATCCAAGATCATTGGCGAGCAGTGGAGGATACAACCCGAAGACGTAAAGGATAGCTGGAAGAAGCTCGCAGAGGAAGAGAAAATACGACATCAACGACAATATCCCGACTACCGATACCAACCAAGACGCGGTGGACGACCGGGAAGCCGGTCGGGCCCATCCTCTGGAGGAGACACAGGACGTTGCCCCAAGTGCGGAGGCAGATTCATCGCTACGCCCAGAACGCCTTCAACACCGTTTGTTACACCGACTGCAGCAAAATCAAGCATGCCTCCTCACCATTCGAGAGATTTGCGGGGGGGCGGCGGTGACAGCGAGCAGCTCCGCCATGCTTTGCCTGGCGGTAAACAACCTATGCAATACCAATACGGCAACTTGCGAGACGTCGACGAAGAGTATGAGGCGACCTCGCCATCGCCGGAGCTCAAGCGGCGCCGCTTCAACGCTATGGGCCACTACCAAGCCGTCCCGTCACCGGGTCCGTACACTGGACACCCTCTATCGAGACAGCCCCGATCGTCGCTGAGCATGCCGGGAACTCCGCCTGTGCCGGGTTACGGACCCTTGCCTGGCCCCTCTGCCCTCACGAGGTCTGGCCACGGCGCCATGGCGCCTCCTCCGCGCCCGCATCACCCTGGATACGCAGGACCGAACCGCGGCTCTGCCTTTGACGAAAGCCTTCGTCTGCCGCCTCTGCAGACCCAGAACTCCCCGCCGCTTGGCAGGGATGGCGACACGAACGACCGCCCAAGCGCACACCCGGCCGCTGGTTTGGGTATTGCAAACTCTCGAGACGCCTGGGCGCAGAGCATTGAAGCCATGATTATGACGATACCTTTTCTGAGCAAGCTGAAGGTGCTGCAAAAGATTAGCCCGACTCTGGCACCGCCAGGCCCTACCAGCCCTGATATCGAGACCCGTGGCGCAGTCATTGCCGTTGAAGGGGCTGATCCGCGGCAGCTGGAGCAGGTCGGCACAGCCATCCACCGGTCTCTGTTGGGTCTGACTGAGATTGACCTGAAGATCTGGAGCGAGGCACCCACCACACCTATCTCAGTCATGTCTGCTGAAGAAGACACCAAGATGAACGACACCGCTTCCGTCTCCAGCAGCAGAAAGAGCAGCCATTCACAGCCGAGTGTCCAGGCATCGGAGCTGTTCTCCAACTACATGCAGACCATGGTAAGGTGGCACGAGAAGTCGAGGGAAATCGTCAAGCACATCACCACCAAGCCAGCCTTCGGACTTGATGATCATCCGCCGAGCAGAAGAGCGTCGGAGGGAGAGGTGCTGGTTGGCTCGAGGCACAACTCGATATCGGTGCCAGCCAAGACGCCTATTGCGTTGCTCCCTGCGGGCTTTAGCTTGACCATCTCGGACAAGTATGCTTGCATGATACCCATTTCCGACTCGTACGCCCCTGTCGACCATTGGCAATGGATGTCAACCCTTTGGAGAGGTGTCATTGGCCCCGACCTCGTCATTTACGTCAAGACTGCAGCGGAGGACGAAGTTGCCCGAGGAGGTGCCGTGGAGTTCAGAGGTCCCGGTGTAATTGTGGTCAGGATTGCGCACGGCAAATCACTAGACGAGAAGGCTGAGCGGCGCATTTGTTTCGAGGTGATCGAGTGGATCCGAGGAGCCAGTTTCCAGGAGGGATTTGGCCGAGGTTGACAACGGCGAAAAAAGCGAATTTAATGATTTGATATCCTTATGTTTCGGCGATTTGGTCAGAGTTGATTGTCGGGTTGAGACCGTTTCTTGTCTTATTTCTCGACATAGCGTAGGCGTAGATAGGAAAATAACGAGCCGTCATGATCGAATGAGTCTTGCGAAGAGTCCGTTTGCAACCAATCACGAGAAGTCGACATTGCGGGAGGATGGTGATTTGCATGTAAAGTGAAAATCGATCGAACTGGAGGACAGGATTGTAGCATTGCGAGCCAAGGGCATGATTCGCACAGAGGTTCGCGCTGATATGCAAGCTCAGAGGCGCCAGTATGCCATGTCAGGGCAAGTAAGACAATGTCTCTGTCTGAATCTTTGAAGGCCGTTTGCTGCTTTGTTATGTTGACTGTTAGTGCTGTTTTTCTGTATTGTCTGCACTGCGGAGCTCACGGACTTGTGCTTGTTTGTGCTATGCTGTTTTATGCTATGTAGGATGGCCAAGTAGGTATGATATCGCACTGTATGGACCCTGAGCTGCAAGGCAAGGTAGAAGTACGGGCCAATCAGGCACAAGTTTCAATTGACATACATCACCCCAGCATAAGGTAGCTCCAATTGCCCCTGCAGCTGGGCGCCGCAGCAAGCTCCGGGCTGGTCTCAGCGCGTTTATTCTACTGGACGCGCATCCCATGCCCCCCTAGAATGACATCTGAACACAACGTCAACATCCACACCACATCACGGGGAGCTTCTCCATAGGCCCGCACCCAACGACAACACAACATCGAATATGCTTATATCTTAACGAAGGGCGCTTGCAACAATGTCGGACCTAGGAGTTGGACAGACGGTGCGTCTGTCAGATGGTCGGACCGGCATCGTGCGCTTCGTCGGCACAACCCACTTCGCTAGCGGTGATTGGGTCGGCATCGAGCTCGAGGACGACAGCGGGAAGAACGATGGAAGCGTTCAGGGCGAACGGTATTTTGATTGTGGAATGGGCCATGGCATGTTCGTGCGGCCCACGACGTTGGCCATCATCGCCCAGGCCCCGGCGACTGCGAAGCCCGCAGCTCGCAGGCCTAGCCGGCCGAGCAGCTTCAATCCGGGCACCGGGCGGGCGGCGACGGATTCGGGATTGACTAAGAGGATGAGCCTTAACGCGCCGAGTCCGAGCCCGGGACCTAAGGGGCCTCGGCCGTCTTCGGGTATGCTCAGGGTAAGTGTCCATCCCGTTGTCGGCTTGGATCAAGGGACAGATGATTAACATGAAGCGCCCAGTCTCCGACCAAGTCACCAACAAAACAGCTCGGATCAGCTACATCGAGTGGCGCGCCATCACGAACTACTACCCCGTCAAATACTCGCACTTCAACTGTGGGAACAAAGACGACGCGACCAGGCGCATCAAGCACGCGAACGTCCATGGGCCCCCCGCCGATACCTACCACGCGGACGCGGCAGCCGTCGACTTCTTCGGTATCGGGGAGGCCAACCGCCACAAGGCCAACCAGCGGCCGGCTCTCCATGACTGGGAGAACAGCATCTTCTACCAGACGACCATCGGCAGACATGGGAGGTGGAAAGTCCACCGAGAGCGGGGATGATGCTACATCGCCATCCAAGGATATCGGCGACAACAGCCCCGTCCAGGCAAGGACAAAAGCCCTCGAGAAGCTGACATCAGGGTCAGCCGGCCCTTCAAGTACATCCGCGAGACCAGCGGCGACAACTACCGCCCGTTCTACAACAAACGCAGCCGCTGCCAACAAGGAAATCGAGGACCTCAAGGCCAAGTTAAAGGTCCTTGAACGAAAGAGATTAGAGGACAGGGAAAAACTGAAACAGCTGGAGCAAGTCCAAGGCGAGAGGGATAGATTCGAGTCCATCATCCAAAAGCTGCAAGCCAAGTATCAACCGCAACAGAACGAGAACAATGAGCTGCGCAAACAGTTAAAGGAGGCGGAGACTAGGTTTGAGTCCATCGAGAATATCCAGATGGAGCACGAGACGGCTTTGGAGCTGGCAACGCTGGATCGAGAGATGGCCGAGGAGACGGCCGAGGTTCTTAAGGTCGAGCTCGAGGCTTTGAAGCAAAAGTCGGAAGAACTGGAGCTCGAGGTGGAAATTCTCCGCGAGGAGAACGCAGAGTTCGGACAGGGCATGTCATCGGAAGAGCGTGCCAGCACCGGCTGGTTACAGATGGAGAGAACCAACGAGCGCCTTCGTGAGGCTCTTCTGCGACTTCGAGACTTGACGCAACAACAAGAGGAGGAGCTCAAGGACCAGATTAAGACCCTGGAGAGCGACTTGCAAGACTACACCGCTGTGCAAGAGCAATTTGAAGCAGCAAAGGAGAAGCTTGCCCAGTCTGAGGCGGCTGTTGAGGATCTGCGCCAGCAACTGGACACGGCGCTCGGCGCCGAAGACATGATTGAGGATCTGACCGAGCGCAACATGAGCATGTCTGAGCAGATCGAAGAGCTCAAGGCCGTGATTGAGGATCTCGAGAATCTTAAGGAGGTCAACGACGAGCTTGAAATCAACCACGTGCAAAACGAGAAGGAGATGCAGGAGGAACTCGACTTCAAGGACAGTGTCATTGCTGAGCAGGCTCGACGGGCAGGCGAGCAAGAGGAGGCCTTGGAGGATATGGAGTACACTCTGTCCCGCTTCCGAGGTCTTGTAACCAGCCTTCAAAGTGATCTTGAGGACATGCGTGCATCGCACGCAGTGACTGAGACGGAGTCTGAACAGCTCAACAGCAAGTCCCGTGCCATGATGGACTTGAACATGAAGCTTCAGATATCTGCTTCCAAGGCCCAGGTCAAGACTATCGACCTCGAGCTGCGCAGGCTGGAGGCTCAAGAAGCCGAGCAGCATCTCGAGATCGTCAAGCTCTTCCTTCCCGATACCTACAAGGAGGACCAAGACTCTGTTCTCGCCCTGCTGCGCTTCAAGAGACTGGCTTTCAAGGCCGAGCTTCTGCAAGGCTTCATCAAGGAACGTGTCAACGGTCAAACCCACCCCGGCCACGAAGACGACATCTTTGCTGCATGCGACGCCATTGACAAGCTCACATGGGTTGCCTCCATGTGTGAGCGCTTCACCAATGCCATCAGCCACTGCTCCATTGAGCAGTTCCAGCGATACCAGAACGCCTTATTTGAGCTGGAGCCTGTCGAGCGTGCTCTCAATGGATGGATCGACGGCCTCCGCCGCGATGAGCTCAAGGAGAAGAAATGCGCGGATGAACTCCAGCGCACCATTGCACTCATGTCGCATCTCGCTGAGGTCCATCTCACGAATGATTTGCCCGACTTTGCTGAGGATACGTACATGCAGACTCTGGTGATGCAGAGCCACCTCGACTCTGCCGCTACCACTTTTGCTACGTTGCGCGCTATGGTCGAACGAGCTGTGCCCGCAGAGTCTGACGAGGACGAGATGGCGCAGCACTTTAATAAGAAGGCCGAGCTGGTCGTCAACCAGACCCGCAGCGCCAAGGTTATTGCTGGCAAGGCTGTCAGAGCTCTCCAGGACCTCAAGGCCAGGTCTCTGGCGCTGCCGCACGAGACCAAGGAGTCGTTTGAGCAGTGCTTGGATGCCACCCGCCAACTTGCTGCCTTGGCTCGCGAGATTGGTCTGGATCTTCACCTTCTTCTGCATGAAGAGGGCCGCAGTGAGCCGTACACGCACCGCGAGATCCAAGATACAATTGCCAAGGCCACCGTTAAGGTCGCCATGTCGAGCGAGTCCGATCTGTTCTCCACCTACTTGTCTAGACTTCGCACCCTTACAAGTCAAATCTCTGACTTGGCTGCACTCAGCACGGACTTGTCGCAGACCCAGGAGTTCGACGTCACTCCCGCGCCGTGGAAGCTTCGGTCCCTGGAGCTCAAGGCCATCAAGACGATTCCGGTCGACGCTGAGGAGGAAATGCGCCGCCTTAAGGAGGAGCACAATGAAGCCCGCAGGGCTATTGCGCAGCGCGAGGAGACCCTCAGCACGGCGAACCTCAAGATCGAGACCCTCGAGTCGCGTATGAAGGATGCTAATGCCAAAGCCTCTCGTATCGAGGATCTCGAGGCCCAAATCGAGGCCGCCAAGCAAAAGGCCGCCAGTCTTGCGGAGGACATTGACAAGCAGGATCGCGAGCTTAAGACGTTGGAGACGGACCGCGACAAATGGAAGAAGATTGCTGGCGACAGCAAGGCCTTCGCGGACGGTGCTGGTGCGGCGGGTGCCAAGGCTGGACAGGAGCGTGCCGTCGCCACGGCTCGGGAGATGGACGCTCTCAAAAGCGACATTGCAAGCCTGCAAGCCGCCGTGCGCTATCTTCGCGAGGACAATAGACGTGCCAGGACGACAGAGCAGCACAACTACGATTGGCTGGCCGAGCCACTCACAAAGACCCCGTCGGTCGTCGAGCAGCGTCGTGCCTTGGTCATGGCCGAGGGCAAGGACGTGCTTAGCGAATTAGTCAAGTTCACAACATCTGCAAAGGTGTACGATCTGGGAACTTTGCCAGAAGACAAGCTGGCTTCGAAGCCGGCTCGCAGTACCCCGCAGTACCATGCGGCCAAGCAGAAGGAGGACCTCGCGGCGTGGAAGGGCTGGCGGGACTCGGTGCTGAAGAAGTCGGAGGTGGTACTAGGCCGCAAGGATGCCGCGGCGCAGAAGAAGCAAATGATGAGAAGCGTGGCGGCGAGGCTGCAGATCCGTCTGCCGGACGCGGACGGCAAGATGGTGCCCGGCGGCGGGCGAGACGTGCAAATTGTTGGATCACGCGAGTGGGAAGGATTGCAGGGCCGCTTGGCGGCAGTATGATTATCATGCAATGATGCTCGGTGGTAGTAGGACTAGTGGCTAGATATACCCCCCATCCTTATGCTCAGCATCTATCTCTTTTTCCACACGCTTTGTACGATGTTTTTGTCGGTGAAATGTATGTGTCCCCGTCCGTGATATCGTCATGATTCGTGGTCCCGGTTTATCCTCATGATATGCATGTCTAGAAAAATGGCACCTTTTTTTTGTCCGAATCTCTCTGTCTCTCTCAGATCTTGGGGGCGGCCCCTATCAAGCTTTGCCCTTGCCCTTCTTCTTCTTCGACGCCTTCTCCTCCGCACCACTGCCACCACCACCACCCGCGGCCTGCCCCATCAACGCCGCCATCGGGTCTCCTCCGCCCTGCATCTCCTTCATCATGTCCTTGAACAGGTTCTCGCTGACGCCGCCACCCGTCATGGCGGGGCTGAAGTACGGCAACAGGTCGCCCATCTTCCAGCCGCGGGGGACGGCCGGCTTGGGCCACGGCTTGCCCGGATCGGGCGCGGGGGCGCCCTGCACGCGGGCCTTGAGCGCGGCGCTGTTCTCCGTCGTGGGGTTCTCCTTCAGGTGCTTCGCGACGAGGATGTATAGGTGGTGCTTGTTCTTGATGTCGGGCATGCCGGGCGGCTTCGCGTTGGGCGACGCCTTGCCGCCGTCCTTGCCGCGCCCGGCCTCGCCGCCGAAGCGTATCCTGATCTTGACGCGGCCCGGGTTCGCCCAGTCCTTGGGGTGGAACTTTGCCGGCTCGAAGAGCGTCGGCAGGCGCAGCGCCGCGCACGCGTTGACAATCTCGCGGGCGATGGGGTTCATGACGGCCAGCTCGCGGGGCACGCGGCGGCCCTCAGCGCGGGTGCGGCGCGCGTCAAAGTAGATCGGGTACAGGCACTGGAAGTCGGCGTACTGCTTCGGGTCGTTGGTCGTCTGGAACTCGGACGACCCTGCGCCGGCGCGCGGGGCGGCGTTGGCCGCCGATGGGATGTTGGCGGGGTTGATGCGCGAGGCGGCGGCGGCGGCTGCTTGGGCGGACGAGGTGGAGGAGGACTTGGGTTCGACTCGTCGCATAATGTCCATGTCGTTGAACTCTTCAATGTCGCCCTCGGAGGGGTCCGAGTTCTCGAGGTCGCTGTCCTCCACCTCTTCTACCCGTGGGTGTGACATTTCGTCGGAGTATTAATCTGGTAACGGAATGCGTGGGGATTGGCTTTTCGGTGCAGTCGTGTGCCTCTTGACGGGGGGCGGGCGTCGTTGTCGTCGTCGTGGGGTGTTGGTGGTGTAGGTTGAATCTGGGAGGTGAGGATACAGTTGTCGATTGGGAAAGCGGCTCTATCCTCTTTGGGATTTTGCATGGCAAACGTGTGTGGGGTTGGGAAACGACGGTTCGCTGTGGTGGGGGAAAATGACACTGCGGGGCCCACCGCGGCGGCCAGGGTACCTCAAGAGCTGGACGTGTGCTAAAGCGGGACAGCTTGTCGGAACGTCATCTCATAACGATGTTCAACAACGGCCTCACCCCAAAACATGGGATGGGAGCGTCACAAAGAACAAAGTCGTCACAGTTTTCGGAAATAACATTGAATTAGCCGCAAAAAGAAGAATATTCCGACATTTTGCCACTTGTCCGTCCATCTACGCACATATACTACACCCCATCTGTCTGTCCCGATTGCGTGCTATATACAACCAGACCAGAGCATCAATCTGCATCCCCCAAACTGAACTGCCCTTCCTCCTCGAGAACGATCTTTCGGTTTCTAGTTCTCGTGGATCTTGGCATTCTTGAATTTCGTACCAGGGGGGTGGTCAGTAATGCGGAACTTGCAAAATGGATGGGTGCAAGTGCTGCCGACCACGCTGGGGCACTGAGGAATAGTGAGCAATGGACTCTTCCAAGACGAACAACACAGGATACAACTTACGTGATGTCCATAAATGCAGTTTTCGACGTCGCACTCCTGACCACTGGTGCAGGGGTTCAGGCGGGTCAAATGAGCAATGGCATTGATTTCGTCTGCGTTAGGACGATACTTGTGCTCAAAGCAGCATTCGTCACCCTTGGCGCAGGGTCCACGGAGGTAGTGGTTGTTGCATAGCTTTGCGGCTCCAGTTCGTTTCTTGATGTTCTCCAGAGCTGACTGGTTAATAGGGATCGGGGGATCAATCCCGCGCTCGCCAGGATTCCATGTTGGAGTTTGCGGTTTCGGCTGAGAGGCTGTTCGAATTGGGATGTTGACGTTTTTGTTAGCTAACGGGGTTGTGATTTGAGGAGGTGGGCTCGCTTTGGTGACGCCGGCCCAGGAAGAAGAGGAGGGTGTAGTGGCGGAGGCTGGCGAAGAAACAGCAAGAGTCGGCGACGTGGTCGTCGGTTTGAAGTAGGTGGATTCAGCCGAGCGATCACCACTTCGGTCAATGAGTTTTTGGTTTCGGAAAAGGCTGGGGAGAGGATCCAAAATGTGGACATTGGTATTTTTCAGCTCTCTGACCGTTGCAAAGCCCTCAATAAGGCTCACTCTCGCGCGGGTATCCGCATCCTGAAGGATCTCGTCAAGGAACGGGGCGTATCCTGCGTCGTGGGAGATGCCCAGCAAAATCTGTCTGCAATTGTAGTTTCTCAAATGCCATCGCGTAGCCTCTGCAGAATCGAGTCAGCAACTGGCAAAGCACAATGAGGCTGCCTAACCGGGGCTGATATCTTGGGTCGCGTGACCTGCCGAATAACCATCCTAGAGCCGGCAGCATTACGAGAAACGTACCTTTGATTTTCGAGTCGGCACGTTCCTTACCGTGACCGACGTCTATGAAATCAAATGAAGCTTTAGCTTGTGTAAAGCCTAACGAAAACTCCTTGAGTTCGGACTCGCTATCCAAGCAGCCGTCACGGCGCATGGCTCTTGCGAGGCCCGACATGTTTGCGCAAACTTTGGCGATAATCTCAACTTCGCCGGATTGGCTGCCAACGTATTCGGCGACGGCGGATCGAAGGGCATAGGCCGCTTGCTTGCCACCCTCAATACCCTGCTTGATGTATGTTTCTTGGAACTGGATGGCTCGAGTCAGCGTTTGGACAAAATGCCACGATTGAGATCGAGGTTCCACGTACAAGAAGGCCATCGCCATCAATAAGTATCAAGACGTAGGGATTGCGGTTCTGCAAAGTTCAGCAACTCTGAGCCTCCAAAACAGGCTGCTATCCAGCAACCCGTGGTGCCTCTGTTTACCTTGAGATAGTTGTTATCTGACTCAAGGCCTGAAAGCGTCTGCTGCATCTCTCTTCTCGAAATGGTGGCATGGTCAAGATCGAGCTCGGCGTTGCGTAGCTTCTGCTTGAGGATTCTGTTTTCTTCTCCAATTGTACGCTCAATCTCTTTGGCATATATCAAAAGGTCCTGTGGAAGAAAGAGACGGTTAGCTCAATGCAGCATTTCATCTGGCATTCCAAACTCTAATTCTATGCGAAAAAGTGAAATTTCAGCGGGAACGGAGCGGTGGTTCATCTCGTCGCGCATCGCACGGCAAATGGTAATGGGGCGGGGCAGAGACGATGAGGTGAGACAGCAAGCAGGCGAGGCATTGCACAGCACGAAGCCTCCCCAGAGAGCCATGGCGATATGTACCAGCCAGGGCCGGATTGGGCTGAGCTACCTAGGCCGATGGAGCTGTCTGGGGCAGAGCAATCAAGGCATGCTTTGCAGCGGCTGGCATGGGTTTGAAATGGAGCTTTGGTCTCTCTGCAGACCAGAAGGAAGCTTCAAAGAAGCCCCATTTGAAGGGTAGGAAATGAGAAGGAAGACTCGAACAGGGGGAAAGGTAAAAGCGAACCCACCTTCATCAACTGGTCGCTGGCAGCTTGATAACCCTGTAAGGTTTGATAACGGCCGACAAAGTCCATGATTTCGGAGCTCATTGCAACGGGTTTCGCTCTCTCCATGCTTTTGAGGCCGATAGCAGATGGGAAGCGAACGTTGACGCCGGGCGGAGAGGGAAGGGAAGGCAAGGGGGACTGGCTCGTAAGAAGGTAGGGAGCAGCAGGGGTTGTATTGGCGTTGGTAGAGAAGGTGGAAGAGGTGGTGGTGCTGCTGCTTTTGGTCGACATTTGGACTGAGAGACTGGGGCTGGGTGTGACCCGGCCGATGCTGCAGGTGCAGGTAGGTGGGTGTGGGCGCAGGCGATGTGAGGTGAGGAAAGGAAAGGCAGGGTATCGATGGTAAGGCAGCAAGCAGCAGTTGAGTGTGGACTTGCTGTGCACAAGTGACTGCAAGAGGGTAGACAGCAGGGACGGGATGACTGCAGTTGCTATTGGTGCTTAGGGGAGACGACACAGGCAATAGAATAAAGTACCGTGCCTGTGCTTGGGTCGCGTTTGGTATCACCAGCCAGATTCAGGGTTGGGGAAGGTAAGATGGGTAGGTAGGTGCTGTGAGACTGAGGTGAGGTAGGCGTGGGAGGTATGCCTGCTGTCTGTAGGTAGGTAAGGTAGAGGTGCGTTGCGACTGCCTGCCTTATCCTCCTCTTATTCGACCAAATAAACCTAAATACGGTAATCTGCTCTGTGGAAGGTCGTTCCTGCTGGAAGGAAAGAGAAGCGTGCGGTTCGTGTGTTGATCAGGCTTGCGCGAGTGGCAGCAAGAGCGGCGCAAGTCAGGCAGGAGACGGAAAAAGTTTTATCTGGCTGACCGCGACTCCCCAAAGCAATTAAAAACAAAAAATAAAAAAATCGTGCCTTCAGCTAATTCAAGGCGACGTGCCTTTGCAAAGAGAGACCGCGCGGTGCAGTAAGGACGGGGGACGATAGGTGACCAATTCAAACTTGGATCGCCAAAGGATGAAAAGGGAAAGACGAAGGAGGAAAGGTTAAGGTAAGGTAGGTAGAGTGGTGATGATGCTTGCGCAGGGCTGGATTTGGCTGGGGCTGGAATGCGATGCGATGCGATATGCGATGCGATGCAACCAAGGCGTTCCGAGTCGGACAAGCTAACGTAGTCAGGACCTTCACCCCAAGCTAATGCGAGGTTGGTGAAAGCAGCGATGGAGGCAAGCGCGAGCTAATGTAGACAGCGAGAATGCCTCGAGGCAAGGAGAGTGTAAGATAGTTAAGTGACACGCTGCGAGGCGACGTAAGGCGGTGGTGCAGCAACGAACGGTGGGAGTCAATGGATGTATGTATGTATGTATGTCTGAGATTGCGAGACCAGGGCTGGGCTGGTCAACGACAAAACCGGTGAATAATTAACGGCCAGACTGAAAAGGCAACCTCGATGAATATCGAACTGGCTTGGTCCAAGGTAGGGCGTGTGTCTCGCAGCCGTGCTGTGTGAACGTCCCCGGCGTCCTCGAATTTATAGGAAACGACCCCTGGTCAAGCGAATGGTACAACGACTGTCTTTTGAACATGCAGATTTCTGTTTCCTGCTTTCTGTTTCTTGCTTAGACGCGTATAGGAAACAGAAAGGCATGCAGAAAGAGGAAGAGAGGGAGAAAGAAAGAAAGCGGTGAGCCAGAAGCAACCTGCATCTGATTTCCTGCTGGGTCCCGGTACAAATTTTCTGGATGGAGACCGCCGATGGTTGTCTCTGCGATCGAAGCTGGGGAAAAAGGATTTACGGTTGGAAGCGATTGCGGGAAAAGGAAAAAGCAATTGTGTGATAAGATGTCAGACACGCCACGACACATCCACTGGCGTAGATTGATTTCTTTCCCCCCCCTGACTGCTTGATTGGGGAAAAAAATTCAAAAATTTAATGCGATGAAAAAATTGCCCACCTGTCGTCTCACTTTCTCGGATACGAGTCCGCCCAGTCTTGTCGTCGCTCCCGTCTTTCCTGGGCTAGGTACGGATACCTCGCCTTATTACACTGCGGGTATCCCTGTCACCAACCAACATGATGTTCCATTCACAAGACAAAGTGATCAAGTATCGATTTGAGGGCATTTTCTTGTTTTGAGTAATAAATCTCAACGGATTGTTTCCATCTCATCCATTTTGGACGCCCGTCCTCAATTTCGCATCGTTGCTATCTCCCCTCCTAAAGTGACCAAATAGGATTGATTGCACTTTGTGAACATGGCGTTTGCAAATGCACAATCTGGTCCTGGAACCGGCAAGCAACCGTACCAAGCGAGCAGCGTCTCCGCTGGCGCTAAATCGCATGCCGTGGCCCCACGCGTTGGGGATCCCCCGATACTGGACTGCCCTCCGTGCCCTCTGCCACCTAACTGGGTTGCTGACATCTTGACAGGGGACGTCCGGCGTCAACTCAACGACCGTGGAAGTGCACATTCCAGCCCACCAACAAATACAGCCAATGACAGTACGCCGAAGTCATGTACTCAGCCGCCGCCACCAAGCGAGCATCTCTCATCTCCTGTTCTCCTTGTGTTTTGTTTGAACACCAATGTCGCCTTGTCGTTTGCTCAGAGTCCTCATACTCCTTCTTTTTGTTTCCAGGGCATTCCCCAGTGTCGGCTGATCAAGTCTGGGCCGCCGCCCTTTTCGTGGCTTTCGCTTCTTTCCTGTCAACTAAGCTTCCAAACTGGGTTTCAAGCGGTCGTCGGGTCGTACTGGTTTAGAATATTCCACACACTGTCGTTCCCAAAATCACCTTCAAACGTCTGTCCGGCTGCCGGTGGTGGCGGCGTCGCTGCTCCCCATGCCGGTAATGATCCGTCCTCTGGTATTCCGTTCAGGTCGTGATAGATGAGATCTCCCATGGGGAAGAGTGGCGCGATCGAGGTAAAGTCCCAGCTGTTGGGCATCGTCCATTCTGAGTGCGATGATGGCAGGGGGTACGAGGATGTCTCTGGTGCTGTTGGCAGCGATGTCGGTGTTGCTACGGTGCTGCTCTTGCTGACTGGCGTGTCTGCTGTGTTCGCCGTCGTTGACACGGAACCACGTGCTGATATGCTGCTGCTACTCTCCGTCGTTGACGCGGGCGTCTGCGCTGCGATACTCGACATGCTTGGCGGCGGCGCCGGGTTCCCTACTGCTTTCTTGAACTTAACGAATATCGCTTGCAAGACTCCTTTGGCGGCCTTTGCCAGGGGGTTTCTCTCTTGCATCGCCTCGAACCTCTCCGTCGTCCAGTGGAAGTGTTGCATGGCGCTTCCTGCCATATCCAGATTCTCTTTCGGAAAGAGGATGTATATCGTCGCCATCAGCACCACGGCGTCAAAGCTTCCAAAGAACAGCGAGAAGCTGGTTGCCCAGTCAGTGATGAATCACGTCTCCTACCCATGAAAACTTACTTGCGCCACGACCCAGCATCGAGACCCTGGAACGTGAGCATTTGGCGATGCAGCATTTCGATGCTCGCCTTGAGCGCTTCGGTCCGGCTCTTTGGTCTGTTGAAGATGTAGGGCCGGTGCAGTGCCATCAAATTGAACAAGTTCATTTGTGGCAAGTAAAAGCGGGCCGATTGAAGCCAGTAGCAAGATGGCTCGTCATCCCACCTCCTATCTGGATTCTCCAGACGAAAATAGGCGGGTGTCGTTTCGTCCAGTTCCATACACATCTGGTGTACACGATCGACCTTGGAATAGTCTTTGGGACACGGGCCATCGTGCTCCAACTCTAGGATCTCCCGCATCGGTCCCACGAGCTTGAATGCCCAGATACCCCTGGTCAATGGTGTCGGGGGGTCTTTCTCATCATCTCTTGGCGCAATGGGTGTCTTGCGACGGTCCTTTGGTAACGGCGTATCTATTGGCAAACTTGGCGGAAGTATGCGCCAGTCGATGCTACCAGGACGTCCCAGGACCAACGCACAATGAATGTCCCTGTTCGGTGTCAGCCGAGTCATGTCCCGCCATCCTTGTTCGCGGCAGTTGCTCTCACCATGTCATCAGAACCATGTATAGCTTGCGTCTCCGCTGAATCAACCACATGTTTTCCAGAACATCTTCAGTCTCACCGCTGACTGGCTGGGGATCCAAGCTATCCCGGTGCATACCGATTTCTTGGGCGTCTCTAATCGCGCTACCAATGGCATGCCACTTCATTCGGTGTGAGTTTCGAGAGTCTCTAGACAAACACGCAAGAACTACTTACCGACTCGGTTACTTTTGCCATGTATTTGAGAAATGCCGCCCGAAGGAAAGACGCTTGGACCGTCGTCAGGGTGATTTGCCGCTTTCCTAGCAATGACAAAATCCCCACGCCAGACTCGCTGTAGTCTGCGGCCAGATCTTCAAAGGTCATATTCCCAGCATACTTGAGATGTTCGTAGAACTCATGCGACCCTTCAGGGAGGGTCAAAAGAGCCGTGGCCAAAACCTGGAACAGCAAGGCTGGGAACACTCTCAAGTCAGGCGATAGGCCCTGCGGTCCAGAGTTTGAGAGAACGCTGAAGGGCAGGTTGTTCCACTCGGCGAATTGCTGCATAAAAAGATCCTCTTCCAGGGCGTAGTACTGCCAGTTGAACTCGCGGAAGTAGACCTCAATGAGCTTCTCGATGTAGCCCTTGGCCGGCAGTTGTCTGATCAGCGACTTGTACCGCTCTTTTGTAGCGAATTGATCCTCGACCTGAGTTGCGCCGCTCAAATGGGACATGGAGCCGTCGCCATTTGCGCTTTCGATCTTTCTCATGAGGCCGAGTGTTGATGCCCCGGCGTGGGAGTACCCCCAATTCGCGGCGACATTGGATAGGCTTTGGACCTGCGTCATCCTCGAACCCTCGGCCTCCGCTTTCCGATGCTCCTTTGCAGTCGGCGCGCCGGTCTCGTATTTGCACGCGTCCTGTTTATTGCGTGACTTACAATTGGCGCAAGGCAAGTCTCGATCACACTGCGGCAGCAGTGTCAGTCTTGTTGCAGGATAAGTTGGCAATGGGGCGCTCGAAAGAGTGGCAGACTGACCTTTTGCTTGCGCCGGTGGCACTCGGTGCAAGATATCACAACTCTTCTGCGCTTCTTTGGTGGCGGGCGGGCATCTTGAGTTTGGCCATGGGGCGGATTTTGGGTCGGCGCCGGGTTCTGGTTCTGCCCCTCCCGCGCGGACGGCGAGCTTTCGGAGCTGTTGCGCCGGTCGTCGGCCATCGTCGGCCGTGGTGGTAGTCGATTCCTCTAGAGAGTTGGTGGTGAGGAGAACGGGAGGAGTGTATCGTATGCGGGGAGACGCGGCGCGATCTGCGAAGGTGGGCGCGGCGATCGATAAATCGTACGTCGAACGTGTGGGAGCTGTGTCTTTGGATTCCACGCCGGCTTAGAGCGGTGTAGGCCCAGTGGATGGTGTGGTGTCGAGAGCGCGCAGGCCGGCGCAAAGCAGAAAAAAAAAGAAGCAGCAATGCAGCCGGCGCGCGGGCTTTTGGTGAGTCTTTGTCGAGGATTTGTGGTCGGCAGATTTGGTGATTACGGAAGCAAGGTCCCAGTTCTTCTCTACCTTGTCTCCGTCAAGGAAGGAGGTGGAATGGACGGACACGGAGAATATGGAAAAACTGTGTACTTCGTCAGGTAAGGAGGTTTGATGGTATGGACCCGCCACAAGCAGACTCGATGGACAGGGCCTCCTCTTGCTGCATTGGCCAGGTGGGCAGTGGAACAGATGGGAAGAAGAGTTGAGACAGACAAGTGGAAGAAACGAGGCCGACAACAGCGGTGGGCAGGGCCAAGAGATGCGAAAGCTGGGAATAGGACAGGCGAATGTGTATGAATGATCCGTCTTGCAAGGTATGTAAATGTGCCGGGGCCCAGAATGGCAGGCAGTCTGCTTTCTGCTTTCTGCTTCTCCTTCTGTGCCACTACCTCCTACCAACCACGACGAGAGGTGACGCTGCGGCAAGGCATGTGGCCGGTCGACGGTGGGGCCGGGAGACGGTCTAAGGTAGGGTAACCCAGGAGCTCGGGGCAGAGTAAGGTACTTCAATGGTAAATGGAAATCCCTAAGACCTTCTTAACCCCGAGAGGCCGGCCATCCATCATCCATTGCACCACCACCTCACTCACTGGCACTGCACACCATCAAACCAGGCGCGGTGACACGAGTATCACGGGAGAAGATTTAAGGTATGCGACTTGCAGACCTGCCACGGCAAACTCGCATTGGACAAGGCAAGACAAGATACGACGGGAACCGACAAGATCCAACACACACACACACACAGGCATGCCGTCAACGACGCAACCACGAACGAGCGGCCGCCTCAAGGCAGCATACTCTGCTTTCTGGCACAAGCTAAGATAGCTTCTTGGTTTGCGATCGCTTACATGCAGCGGGTTGTAGCAAAACGTGGGGTGGCCTGGTCTTGCTGCTTTGCCGACATGGAGTGGCCCCTCAGATTATGGGTGACCTTGGATCGGCGACCAACCTAACCAACACTCGGATTGCGAAAGGGAAGGGGAAATGGTGGTAAAATCAAAATGAGATGGTCAACAAATGGAAGAAAAGAAAAGACCACACCACACAGACATTGTCACGTCAAGGCGGCGAGCGTTCCGCACCGTTCGCGTTCGCAGCAGAGGCGGCGGCGGCGGCAGCAGCAGCAGCATGGCATGCCCACACACTCTTTGAAGCATCAGAGATGACAACGTGGAGGGGTAGGGCCGGCAGGGCGCCGACAGGGCACGCACGCCGAAAATGCTATGGCCGTCACCTACCTGATCTGACCTTGCGCCGTACCTTACTTAGCACCTCCTGCTCCGTCCTCCAGCAAGTCCCGAGTCCAATGAGCCGTACCATGCCTCGTGGGGTCGTCGCACCACTGCCTTTCAGGCTTCGAAGTCGTCTGGAAAGACAGGACGACCACGGCCGCCGGCTGCCCCTGCGCTGCGCGTGGCAACTGCCCAGGTGCACTTTAAATTCTCCATGCGTCTTGAGGGATTGGGGAAAATAGCCTTCTTGAATCTCGCAGCTCATCGAGAACATGTTGCATCCCGGGGAACCTTGTCCTCCTCCAGCCCGTCGCCTCAGAACACTACCCCCCTCTTCCTTCTCGTCGGCCCTTTCTTCTCTATCCTCAACCGCCCACCACCGCTGCCACCGCCAATGATGCTCATCCATCCTCACCCTGCACCTGTAATCTCGTCCTCCCCTCGTTCATCTACGGCTGTGAGGTCATGCCCTTCCCTGCTGCCTCCCCCGGCCTGCACCGTGCCATGCCATGCCATGCCTCGCCGTACCATGCCAATGCCACATGCCACACATGCCATGCTGTCCATGAGAACCTTCCCGCCTATTGCCTGTCAAATCGGGTGCGAAGTGCGAGTAACGGCTTTGACGGTACGTCACTCTCGATTGCCGATCACCGACGTCGAGTAAGAACGCTCTACTCAGTCTCCCACCAACGCGCTCGATGAACCGGTGCGATGTTCACGATCGAGGGCAGGTTCCATAGAGCTGGCGATCGAGAAGAACAGCAATAGATGTGTTGCAGACGTGGTCAATTGAAAGATATATCAAGTGTGACAGTCCACTACCAAATAACAATGCATGTTCAACGCCAATCCAACCCCTTTTTTGTTGGTCCATGCCGGATCACCGAGATCCCGTCTAAGAAACCGTCCTAGTGCCCCGAGTACTACTCCCCAACCTCTACGATACGAACATCATTGCAGATCGACATGCATAAAACGACGACAACAGTGTTTGGAGACATGGCCGAGAGCCACGAAGAAGGGACGACACAACTGGGGGAGTAAAAAACACACAAAGATGAACACGCCTGGGTATTGGTGTGATGTGAGGAGGAACCGCCTACGCTACCCGCGAGAGATATGCCTTCCAGGCCTTCCTGCGGTATCTCTCAGCCTCCGACTGGGGATCGCCTGCCTTCAGGATGCCGCGACCGACGATGACAATGTCCGTTCCGCAGAGCTCGACCAGCTTCTGAGGCGTATTGTATTGCTGGCCCTTGCCGTCTCCGGCGACACCTCCGTTCTCTTCGTCACCTTCGGGCGGCAGCTGGCATCCAGGGGTCATGTGGATGAAAGCATCTTCGGGCTCGGTGTTCAGACTCTCCTGGGAGACAAATCCCATTACGAAGCTCTTGTGCTCCCTGGCAGCCTCCACACAAGCTTGCGTGTACTCCTTGTTCATGAAGTTTCCGGCACTCGACATTTGCGCCAGGATCAAAAGACCACGGTCCATTGGGGCCTCCTCGATACCGGCGTAGAGAATATCGTCACCGTGCGACTCGTTGCGGGGAAACCTCGGGGAAGGGGCAGGCTCGAAGTGTTGCGTCAGGGTGGTAATGGAGACGATGCTGCCCTTGCGGCCGTTAACATCGGCCGGACGAGGGGCGCCAATGGTATGTTCCGCAGAGTGCAAATCATTCGCCTGGTCCTCGTCGTAGTCGTCGAAGCTTTCTGACCTGGGTGTACCGACTGTGACCGATGTCCTCACTTCGTAAGGGTAGCGTTCCCTCCACCTAGCTGCGGCCTCGGCAAGAGAAGTAACGGCAGCTTTGCCAGGGACCATGTTGACATTGATGATGTGCGCCCACTCAACTATCCGCGCAGAGCCCGCGACGTATTGCATCTGTACCGTATTTCCAATATCACCAAATTTGCGATCCTCGAAGATGAGGAAGCCGTGTTTACGGGCTAATGCGCCAAGCTTGGCTCCGGTGCCCGTCTGCGGGTTGAAATCCCATCCTGCAACGATATCGTGATGCGTCTTCAGAACGACGATGGAGGGACCGACCTTGTCGGCCAGGTAGAGAAGTTCTCGCGCGGTGGGGACGTCAGCGCTGAGGCATAGGTTGGAGGCCTTGAGGTCCATCAATCGCAAGAGGTACGTCGTGAGCGGATGGGTGGCCGTCTCGGCGCGACTGGCGAAAGTCGCCTTGAGCGTGCTGTGTGAAGTCATCCTAGCAGATGGCTTGTGTGTTTTAACACGACGATCGGGTCTGGCGCAGTGCACTTCGAATTGATGTGTATTTGGCGAGATGCCGGGAAAATTGTCCCCAAAGATAGAGTTTCCGACTGCGACAGGAAAGCGGAGCGGAAGTTCTTTGACAAGCGCAGTGGCAAGGCTGGTGAGGGGGAACCCAGCAGCCAGCAAAGAGAGGGGAAATTGAAGGTGACGACGAGATGGCTGAGAGGTAGCGCCGAATCAGGGTTTTTGTAGAGACCGCGGCGGGATGCGGCGAGGGCGGGGAGCGCGCGAACGAGACAATGGGAGAAGCGTTGGAGGAGTAAGGTATTGTGCGTCTGTATTCTTGACCGTACGTTGGGTTTTGTCGTAAATCGAGGGAGAGACAGACAAGACCCGACCAGTGGACGAGGGTAGAAAGGGTAAGGGAGAAGGAGAGGACAGCAGGTAGCTAGGCGGGCTGGACTTTTTAGTGAAGACTAAAACAGACAATAAGTAGTTAGTGAGGTCGATGTGTGCAAATGTGACTGTGGGGGTGCGCTTAAGATTAGATAGACACTGAGAGCGGCGGGCTAAAAATTGGACGAGGGGCCAGAGGGGGAGGGGGGACGAGAAGAGATGCGCATGGAGGGGTTTGCGTTCGCTCTCTGCATCATAATTGCCTAGAGAGGGAACGGAAGTGGAGGGGGGGTTTTGGCGGGAACTTGACAGAGAGAGAGGCAATGGAGATTCATGGAAAGGGGTGCGTACTGCGGCAACTGTCAAAGATTTCGGCAGAGCGAGATAGAGCGGCGAGGAGGCAGAGAGAGTGAGTGAGTGAGAGACACGGAGCAAGAGCAAGAGAGAGTACGTGTATGTGGGTGTGTGGGTGTCACAGAGAGAAAACGGGAGGCCAACAACAATAACCAAAGTGCATGGGGCAAATGCCAGCAAATCAGTCAATGAGACGAAACGAGAGGAGACGACGAGGATCAATAATTGGGACTCAGAGAGGAGAGAGAGAGAGAGAGAGAGAGAGAGAGAGAGAGAGAAATATCCAAAAGCAGAGCCCCCTGACCTTTGACCAGCCCCGTAGGTAAGGAATGAATTGCCCCCAAGCAAGGTAGGGTATGTCCGTACTGTAAGGTATTCAGAGTAGTACCTTACCTGTAGCATTATGGAGTTTTCCCTAAAGCACTCACCCCACGCAAGTACGCATACCTTGCTTGTCATCCACCTTACCACGTAC